GGACACACGGCCCCCGGGCCCGGCGTCATGACCCGGCGGGGCCGTTCTGGCCGGGTCCCCAGAGACGTGAGCGCGGGTGAGTGAGAGCCACCAGCGTGGGGCAGGGGGCGTGGGCGCTCCGGGCCGCGGCTCCGTGGACCCCCGCGGGGGGGGGGGAACTGTGAGAGTGGCCCGGGAGGGAGAGACGCTGTCCCTGGCCACTGGTAAGGTGTACCCATGCGTTTCCCTCCAGGAGCTTTGGAAGAAAACTCTTTCATTGGGGTAGCTCACACCCATGTCCCTTTTACAAAAAGAAGACCCCCAAAGCGCCTCTCCCACCTCGTGGGGTGGTAACTTCTGGCTACTGTCGCTCCAAGGCAGCCTTTTCTCCCCGGACAGATGTAGAACTGGTCTGTCTCTCCAGGTCCAGAGCCTGACTTTCCAGAGTAACTAAATAACGGATTTCAGAGTTTGAAAGGCTTCTAGCACTTAGGATATCATAAAGGACAAAGGGTGCACTTTCAGAGAAAACGAGCTACCCAGTCAACCTTAACAGCAGGGGTACTGGGGGTGGGGAGAGGGGAGCTGCGAGGTTGAACCCCTTCTTCCAGACACTAGAGACTGTCTGGGAGCCCCTTCCTCCCCAGCCAGCTGCTCTGCAGGCGGGCGCTGCCTGTCCCGGTCACAGAATGGGAACCCAGCTCCTGTCCCTGCTGTCTTTGTTTCTAGTTCCTTTTTTCTGGTGGAAGAAAATGCCACGGCCTGGGTGGAATCCTAATGTACTGCCCTTAGGACCTTGGCAGTGCCCTGTCCTTGGCTCTCAGTTTCCCCGTCTGTGAAATGGAAGGGCCTGGTTCCTCCTAGCCTTCTGGGTAAACTGAAAGTAAAAATAATAGAACGTGCTGTGAACAGAGTCGGGGTGCTGTTGCCTCTGATCTTCCTGTGAGAGGTGCAGGGCACACACTGGGCTCTGCTGTTGCTACAGGCCTGGCTGGGATTGGCAAGACTTTGTCCAGTTTTCACTTTTTTTTTTGTCTACCTCGCATGTTTCACAAACTTTCTTCCAACTTGCTCATCCTTGGAACATCGAGGTATTTCGTAGAATTGAGTAAGAAAAGATTTCCTACCCTCATAAAACCTCAAGGGCAAGTTCAACGGTACTCTTGCCCCCCCCCCCAGACTGCCTAGTACTTGTGAACTTCTGAGTTCTGGCCCAAGACAGGGAAACTGAGGCACCGTGAGCCATGGAGGGGAAAGCAGCTCTGGAGGTCCCTACAGACACATGCTGTGCAGACCCTCGTTTAGCTGAGTTCCAGAGGAAAGAATTAAGAGCTTGGAAGACATTTACTGACTTTCCCACTGCTGAAAAGTAACAGGGATACCGTAGGGCGTTTTGTGGGATGTTCTGGATACAGTGGTGTGTAAGGAACTGATAACTCGCAGGGCTACTCAGGAACTCAAGGCAAGTGTCAATAAGTTGGTGCTCAGGCTCAGGGCTCCATCTTGTGAGGGGATTTGAGGGAGGGGTGCTGTTTTGTGAGGTCCAGCTTGAGGAGGCTGACACAGGACTCTCCTTCCTAAGGCAGGGACTCTCACCAGCTCACAGGGAGGTGAGTGTAGCAAAGGGACTCTATCGGCGACTGAACTGGGGAAAATTCAATAAGGTAAGGATTGAAGCCTTAGGAGAGCCATGCTTGGGGCTGGAGAGATGGCTCAGTGGTTAAGAGCACTTGACTGCTCTTCCAGAGGTCCTGAGTTCAACTCCCAGCACCCACATGGTGGCTCACTACCATCTGTAACGGGATCGAATTCTTTCTTCTAGTGTATACATAAAATACATGAATAAATAAATCTAAGAAAAGAGAGAGAGAGAGAGAGAGAGAGAGAGAGAGAGAGCCATGCTGTCACACTTTCCTCTTGCCCATGTAGCCTTTGTAGCCTTCTCTGTTCCGTTTGTTTTGGGGGTGAGCAGGATGGAGGCTTCAGGGAAAGGAGGAACCTAGGGAGGAACTGGAATAATCCGGATTTTCTCCCAGGAGGTCTCCTGATCTCCTGGTGCCCCAGCAGACCATTGTCCACGTGGTGCCTACCCTCTGTTGCCCTAAGCCCAGCCTGGGTCAGGGACGTTTGAAGAGTAAGATTAGAAGAACTGAAATCCATGACCTGTTGCAAACGGCTCAAAGTTACACCAGTGTGGCCGAGGATTCAGGCATGGCCTCTGTCCGGTTTCTGCCAATGCCTCAAACAATGTCACTTAGGAGAAAAAGGAAACGACAACCAAATACAACACAGTAGCCGTCAGTGATTCAGGGAGCAAGAGTTTTACAATAATCTCTTAAGATTTTCCTGGCCGCTTTGATTGGCCATCACACACCACTCGGTAAGAAGAGTAATCGAGGCATCACATCGGCAGAGATCCTGGAGTCCTTTGCAGACATCCAGCCTCCCTGGCCCCGGGGACAGATGGTCACCCATGCTCTGCGTCCACATGGTTTGTGGGGAGGTGGGTGTTCCTGCTGGC